GCCATTTCATTGTCCATATTGCTGTTCTCTCCCCTGTGCAGAGAGGGTCCAACATGAACAAACACATTTCCTGGTTGGAAGGAATTTGGATTATGAGTAGCTACACTGACTTGCTGGAAAGGCCACCTGACTGCTTTTAACTCCTTACAGGAAAAAGGCTTTTCATTTTTAAACTTGATTTAAAAATTCTTGCCCCTCCCCCCCTGGCATGGGTGGCAGCTGCGCCGGATTGGGGGCGGGGTGCAGGGAGGGGCCGTGGCATTAACTCACCAGCCGAAGGGCAACGGCCTAAAGGCATCGCCGTTGTTAAGGACCGTTTGGGGCCGTCCGGGGGCTGGGCTGGCCACAGACGCTGTGTGTGTGTATGTGTATGTGTGGGTGGGCTTTTGTAATTGGGTGGGTTGGAGGGTTTTAATTGTATTTTAATTGTATTTTATTGGATTGTTTTAATGGATTCACGCCTGGCTGCTACTATGGGGTTGCCTGGGGAGCACGTGGGCACCACCATTGGGGTGGTGTCGGGCAATGGTCGATATGGCATTGGGGGTTTAACATGTCGGCATAGAAGAAGGAGGGACAGATGGCTGACACCTGTTCCCACTTCTGGTTATTCCCCCAACCAGAAGGTTCTGGGTATGCTTATCAACTGTCCCTCAGGCCTGACGGTGCTGCTGCTTAATGCCAGGTCGGTTCATAACAAAGCATCCCTCATCCATGACTTCATTGTGGATGAGGGGGCCGATGTAGCTTGTATTACAGAGACCTGGGCAGAAGGGGGGGATGTGTTCCTCTCTCAACTGCCCGCCGGGGTATCTGGTCCAGCACCAGCCACGCCCGGAGGGGAGGGGAAGGGGGTCGCTTTAATCTATTGAGCTTCAATTTCCCTTGCAGGGATTCCTGTTCTGTCGAGACTGGGTCTAGAGTGCCTATACCTGGCGTTGGGTGACCGAGACAGATTAGAGATTCTGCTGGTGTACTGTGCACCCTTCTGCCCATCAGACTCCCTGACTGAGCTGACAGAGATCGTCTCAGAACTGGTGTTGAAGACTCCCAGGATGCTGGTCCTGGGGGACTTCAGTTTCCATGCCGAGACTGTTCTGACTGATGCGGCTCAGGACTTCATGGCCTCCATGACGGCCATGGGGCTGTCTCAACATGTCATAGGCCCGACCCATGAACGTGGACACACGCTGGACCTTGATGGGGCAGGATGAGGGTGATCTGAGGGTGAGGAATTTGTGTCTGACTCCCCTGTCATGGTCAGATCACTTCCTCGTGAGGTTTGAGCTTGATGCCGGCCTTTGACTCTGATAGGGTGTGGGCCCTATTGTGTTGGTCTGCCCTTGGAGCCAGATGGATCCGGATGGATTGCTGAAGGCTCTGGGGGAGTTTCTGGTTGATGAAGCTGGCACTCCTGTTGATGCTCTGGTTGAACTGTGGAATGGGGAAATGGCCAGAGCTATTGACATGATCGCTCCTAAGCATCATCTCCCATCCGGCAGAGCCCGTTCATCCCAATGGTATACACCTGAACTATGGGCGATGAAGCGGGTTGGAAGACAACTAGAGTGTAGGTGGAGGAAATCATGGGATGAATCTGACCGAACACACTCAGGAGCTCATTACCAAGCCTATGCTGTGGCGGTGAGGGCGGTGAAGAAGAAATTCTTCTCCACTTCCATTGCCTCCTCACAGTGCTGTCCAGTGGAACTCTTTCGGGTGGTACAGGGGCTGGTTCATCCTGGCCCTAAGAAAGATCCCGTACGACCCTTGATGGCCTGCTGTGACGACTTTGCCCAGCACTTTAAGGACAAAATTGCTCAGATTCGTCACAAGCTGGACTCCACAAGTTATTCAGATCCTCTAGGGGAGGTGCCAATGACTCCGTCCATTCAGATATTACTGGATGAATTTCAGTTATTGTGGCCTGATGATGTGGACAAGGTGCTTGGATAAGTACGTCCCACCACCTGTTTACTTACCCTTGCCCATTGTGGCTGCTGACCAAAGCCAAACATGGGATTGGTACCTGGATCCTAGAGGTCATTAACACCTCTCTGAGGGATGGCTGGGTGTCTCCTCCTTTAAAGGAGGCGATAGTCAGGCTGGTCCTAAGGAAGGTGTCCCTGGATCCAGAGATGGCTGCCAATTATAGACCGGTGGCCAACATCCCATTTTTGGGCAAGGTGTTGGAACGAGTGGTGGCGGGACAACTCCAAGCACTCTTGGATGAGACTGACTATCTGCACCCATTTCAGTCCAGCGTCAGACCCGGGTACGGTACTGAATCTGCCTTGGTTGCCCTGTATGATAACCTGTGCAGGGATAGAGACAGGGGGAGTGTGTCTCTGTTGGTCCTCCTGGACCTCTCAGCGGCTTTCGATACCATCAACCATGGTATCCTTCTGGATAGGCTAGTGGGACTGGGAGTAGGAGGCACTGCTTGGCAGTGGTTCCGCTCCTTCCTCAACAGCTGATTCCAGAAGGTGGTGCTGGGGGACTTTGGCTCTACACCACCTATGCCATGGAGTACCGCAGGGGTCCATTTTGTCCCCCTTGCTATTCTAAATCTACATGAAACTGCTGGGAGAGGTCATCAGGAGCTGTGGGCTGCGGGATCATCAGTATGCTGATGACACCCAGCTCTACCTCTCTTTTTCAACTGATCCAGGTGAGGCAGGGGCTGTACTGAACCGGTGCCTGGCTGAGATAATGGGCTGGAAGAGGGCCAATAAACTGAAACTCAATCCATACAAGACGGAGGTCCTGTTGGTGGGTGGTTTGAGCTCTTGGGTAGGTGACTTGAACCTTGCCCTGAATGGGGTTGCACTCCCTCTAAAGGACAGGGTCTGCAGCTTGGGAGTGCTCCTCGACCCAGAGCTGTCCCTGGAAGCTGAGGTGACTGCGGTGGTTAGGAGCGCTTTCCTTCAGCTTCGGTTAATCCATCAGCTGCGTCCCTACCTGGAGGATGATTGCCTAGTGACAGTGACACATGCATTGGTTACTTCCTGGTTGGATTTCTGTAACACGCTCTACGTGGGGCTGCCCTTGAAGACAGTCCGGATACTTCAGATGGTGCAAAATAGAGCTGCCAGGTTGCTGACGGGGACTGGGCATTATATAACCCCAGTCCTCTACCAGCTTCACTGGCTTCCCATCGAAGTCCGGGCTCAATTCAAGGTGCTGGTCGTTACCTATAAAGCCCTTAACAGCTTGGGACCTGCATACCTAAAGGAATGCCTTCTTCCGTGTTTGCCCTCCCACCCCCTGAGATCCACAGCAGAGGCCCTCCGTGAAAGATATTAGGAGGCAAAGTATCAGGAGGAGGGCTTACTCTGCGGTGGCGCCCTGCCTATGGAATGCGCTCCCCAGAGAGGTATGCCTGGCGCCGTCGTTATTTGTTTTTTGGAGCCAGGCTAAGACCTTTTTATTGCAACAATATTTTAATTACTTTTAATATTAGCTATATATGTTTTAATCTGCAGCCAGGGGGGATCTGGAATTTATTTGTATTATGTTTTATACTACTCTTCTTAATTATTTATGTAAGCCGTCCTGAGGATCTGTGAAAGGATGGCATATAAATATTCTAAATAAATAAATAAATTTACAGTAAACCCATTAAGCATCAGCTGGATGAGGACAGGAAATAGTGCACTAAGTGTTGGTATGATAGAAAATGTGTATTATAAAGATTTCTTTAA